CGGGACACGCAGTGCAGACACCGACTGGACAGCCAGACCCTGCCGTCTGTAGCTGACGGTCAGAGGGGCCTCGAGTCACATGACAAGTTCACGGCTGTTCTGGGTCAGCACCTGTCCACCCTCCTGTTCCACGCTTGCCTGCTGCTGGGGTGTCCTTCCTTAGAAGCATTTTGGGGGGAATGCTCACCTGAGTGTCCCTGTCACACCTGGGCCCTGGTTCTTTCCCCCGGAGCCCCGTGGCTGGGACACTGCCTCTCCTGCCCTCCCTGCCCTCGCCACAGGGTCAGGGCTTCAGGTCACGGTGCCCCAAGAACCCCCAGACGCCCCCATTCCTGATTCCCTGACACTGCACAGCCCTTGGGGTGGGGGACAGTGCAGCCTGTCCTGACCCCAGTGGAGCTTGGGGAGTTGCAGGCCCTGGAGCCCCATCAGTAGCCCCAGGACCTCTGGGAAAAAGCAACTGTCTCTCTAAACGAGGGTCCTTTTGTGGAATTTTCTTGGGCTTTTGAAATCTTCCAGAAGTGGAAATCTCAGTCTGAGACGATGGGCCCTGATCAACGTCAGGGAAAAAAAACACAAAAAGTTGGGCCGAGGGTCCTGAGCCAGCCTAGGGCGTGCTGGGGCCACGGCTACAGCCCAGATGAAAAAGATCATATATTCTGAACCTCAAATTGGGACATTTGCGACAAGGCACTAGAATGTCAAAACGTGGGGGTGGGCAAAGCTGGGCCCCAACCCCCGCTTTGCTCTTTGGCAGCCGTGTTTCTTATCTCAAAAGGCCTCCGTTGGCTCATCTATTAAATGGAGCTGCAAACGGAACCTGTCTCGTGGATTTCGCCGGGAAAAGTGATGTGAGGTGGGAAGTGCAGAGCCCAGGACCTGGCAGCAGCTGATGGTGAGGAGGAGGAGGAGGATGCTGGGTGCCAGGGGACAGGGACTGACAGGGAGCTGGCTCAGGGCAGGGGTCTGTCCTTCTCCAGCCAGCATTCTGCCATTTGCTCTGGCTTTGGGCATTTCCCTCCATGTGGGGTGATGCCTGGGGAGAGAGGGGGGGCCTGCCACTCTCTGGGTGCCCAGCAGTCAGCCCGGTGCACTGCCGGGTCCTGGAGCCCACGCTGGGGTGAATGCCCCGGCCCCCACCTTGACTGTGGCCAGTCAGGGCCACTACTGCTGGCCTTGACTTTCAGGGGTGCAGGATTGTGTGGGGAAGCAGGCAGGGGGAGCATGAAGAACCAGAGACAGAGGAGGCAGGCGGCGTCTGCACCGGCTACTGCTGCCCTACCCACCAGGCACACGGGGAGCAGACAGCGAGGCTCTGAGGCCAAAGCTGCCGATTCTCAATGTTGACTCTACTCCTGAATAAGGCACTGGAGTGCCTCAAAGAACAGCCAGTTGTCTGGACCTCAGTTTCCTCATCTGTAAAATGGGGAAGCCCAGCTCCCTCCTAAAGTTGCTTTGAGGATTAAGTACCAGGCACTAGCAGGTGCTCGGTGAATGTGAGCTCCCGTGAGGGAACTCGGGAGCCGAGGGTGAGGGGAGGCCTCCCCTGCCTCCCCCACGTTCCCCTTTAACAGGGGCATGGCTTCTGGGGTTCTCTTTTCTACACA